ATTGTGGATCATAATATTCCCATCTTTCATATACTCTACATGTTACAGATTTTGTGTTGTTATCTAATGATTCTGATAAACCAAAGTCTGTAATAATCATTCTACCATCATGTACTAATATGTTCTTATTGTGCTAAATTTTACCAATATTAGTTCGGTAAGTTAATAAATAAATAGGAAACAGGTGCTAGGTGCTATTAGATATCTGAAGCCAAAAATTTCATTACATATCATACGAAATTATAGAGTTATTGGATATGAAGCAGTCAATAATTTTTCTTATCTGGTAGCCTACTATGATCGTACAAACAGAATAACTCAAGTTATTTTGATAATGATTATATCATTATCAAATAACTTCGTTATTTGATGATGGTTAACAAAAGAACTCTAATAGTTCGGTCGTCGTAAGCTATCGGATAATACTATTATTGATGCCACGCACCAGGTAATGAATCATTTTACAAATATTTCTGCTTCGCATCCAACAACTCTATATATAGGGGTAAGTCAATAGAAATTAAGAAAATTTTTTATAATAAAAATTTTTCATAACTTTAAACAAGAATAATTTAACAAAAATTTGACAAAATTTAATAAAAAGTTTTTTAAATAATTTTTACAAACTTGTAGAACTAATTTAAAAAATTTTTTATTAAATTTAATTAAGTTTTTTTAAGTTATCCTTGTTTAAAGTTTTAAAAAAACCTATAAAAAAAATTTTGCTTAATTTCTATTGACTCAACCCCATATTATGAATTAAAATAAAATGATGATCATCTGATCTAGAATATTAAGTCCTCGCTATGCTTCTGACAATAACGATACAAAATAAATTAAGAAAAGTCTCTTACAAGGTTCCGATGGGCAATATATTTACTATGTAAACAATCAATCCTGCTAGAAATTTCTTTTGCCATTCTAATTTTAGCTGACCAATCTAATTTTGAAAAATGATCATTCAAATAACATCAAAGATCTCCGTTGTTTGTATACTGAATAACCATATAATATGTTTTGGTTTCAGAATCTATTTAATTTTAAGAAGACTTTCTCAATGATTAAGATATTTAAGGATATATATGTTTATCCATTTATAAAAATTAACATGCCTTGAGTAATTCCAAAGAATTTTATGATATTATCATAATTAACTTTAGTAGTGTATTTAACCTTGCAATTTGTAGTATTAAGGATTATGATTACAATATGAATAAATGAACTGTAACATAAATAATACATACTTTTTTTACAAATTTTTCTAATGACTTTTCATTATAAAAAAGTATAGCCTTCAAAGATATAGTTTGTTTTATATCCTTTAAATTAGCTTTATATATAATTCCAAACTTTTCTTTACTGATTTCTTTCTTGTTTTCAAAAAAAGCATATTCAAAATTTTGTCCAAAATCAATTTTAAACAAAACTTTATTTGACATGTTTATTAAGATTTAAGAGAAACTCAAAATGCTTAATACATTAAACAATAATAAAGAATTAAGCGTATACGATTCAAGAATTGCAGCTAGTCATTTTTTTTATACATAACTCAAAGTTTTGTTACATGAAGATTCAGAATGAAGATCATTGGAATAAGCTAAATTTAGATGTGGCTTGCTTTAAGTTTCAGTCGCTATTAAGAATATGGGGGCTTTGCCTTGAAAATCAAGTATGGGACATATGATTTACTATGTTCCGTAACTCGATTTTCAAGACAAAGACCCATATATTTGGTGTATAGATTGAAAATCCTAGATCCTTCTCTTTGCTGAGATTAATAATTCCTCAAATTATGTAAATATGTCATAATATTTATCACGTTATACTACTACAGTACTATTATATTACACAGACACGTGAATATGCATATTTTATAACTACTTTGTACGAGTAATACAAACTTCTAAAAAGGAAATTTTGGGTATTCCGGACCAGCCCGACATAGAATCCTCTGAATACGTGCAAAAGAAGAAAAAGAAAAGAAACGAAAATACCAGGGTTGGCATTGGACAATGTCTAAAAAAATTGCACGATTATTGGACATATGAGCTGCCGTCAATAGAAATAAGTAGTGATTTTGGCCGAAAGTGAAAAAATCAGCTAAAGAAAATTATCGGCTTAGCTGGTCAATTTTTTTAAAATCGGCTGATTGGTATGGGTATAGATGGGGGTGAAATTACCCTTCTTAATAAAAAGTTTTTGTTGAAATTGTTGAAATTATTAATTGGTGAAATTGGTAAAATTAGTTTTTTAATACTAAAAATTAATTTAAATTATATTAAAAATTAATTAAAACTAAGTTAAATTAAATAAAATAGGTTATTTGGTATTTAATTTATAAAAATATTAAAAATGTTGAAATTATTGTTGAAATTAAAAAAATTGAAAATTAATTTCACCCCCATCTATAGGTATGGGTATAGTCAAAATATGACATTACGAAATTTTCCGATATAGAAAATGAATGAACCTAAAATACAAGTAAAGTTGAACCAAAAAATTTTGAAAAATTCCAGATTAAAGAATAAAATTAAATAGTACTGTAGGTTCGGCCAAGCCGACTAAGCCGACTAAGCCAATAAAATTTATCGGCTTAGTCATAGCTAAAAAATTACGCTCAGCCAAAATTACTAGAAATAAGGCAGATTGACATTTTAAAGAAAATTAATACACAGCTCATACCTCAATGAATTTTGAAGCTAGCTTGATGATTTAATATTCAAAGAAAGCTTAGATCGTAAGCTTTCTTTTAACTATTAAATAATTAAGTGAAAGTTAAGGCATTAAATTTTTTTAAAATGTCAATCTGACGGCAGCTAGGTGAATGACATGGAGGTCACAGTCACGCCCAATACTCAAATAGTCAATGCTTATATGTTATTCCGAGTATACATGAAATATTCCGAAAGGAGTACGAGATAACTGACCAATCTAAATTGTGTATATCTATCACGTGGCATAATGGATACTAATTAATCAAATATATGCGAGGTATTATAGTAAAAATCAATAGTACAGATTTTATGTATAGATCGGCAAAATCGATAAATTATTAGTAAAATATTAGTAATTTAAAAATTGATTCACCTCGCGTACTAGTAATTTTTTTGTGGCAATTTTCGCGGCAAATGATAGTTATAATGTTGTAAAAAAAAGTTATAAGCTTAAATTTTCGTTTACACAAATAAATTTATTATAAAATTCATTTTTTAGATTAATCTTACTAAGTATTAATTAAAAAATTTTTAATCAATTAAAATTTTAAGCTTGTAACTTTTCTTTATTACATTATAATTATCATTTGCCGCGAAAATTGCCACAAAAAATTACTAGTACATGAGGTGAATCAATTTTTAAATTACTAATGGTTTACTAGTAATTTTATCGATTTTGCCGATCTATGCATAAAATCTGTACTATTGATTTTTACTATAATATCTCGCATATGTTTGATTAATTAGTATATGAAATGCCCCAATGCCATGTCCAATTGTCCAATAATTTTATTGGACAATTTTAATAATATGATGGTAACTCCAATAATGATGTGTATCAATTTATTTCATGGCTAATTTATTTTAAAAATCAAAAATCAGCTGTCATTATTATTTTTGAAATACAAATCATTTTACAGTTTTAATATTCTGTTCGATGACTAAATATATTTTTTTTAAACCTATCTAGTGTAAGTAAAATGGAATTAAGTTGATCCGGTAGTGTGAATAGTACGGATGGATGTACACATGCATGTTTTATAAAAAATAATAATAACTAATAATAATTATTATAATTATCAGTATACTTTTTTAAATTAGAAGTATTTTGGATTAGTCCCAAACTAAGTTTAATTTAGGCCAAAATTAAACTTAATTTTTTTTTTATGTCCAATAAAAAATTTTACTATGTCCAATCAAAAAATTTACATTGTCTAATGTCCAATATCATAACAATGCCATCCCTGGAAGATACTCAAAAACTAGTGCTTAAATTGACCTTGGTGGTCTAATTAAAAATAACGGGATGAAATTTTACATATAAGAAACTCCAACTTTATCGCCAAAGCTCACAACCCTAACGTCCTAATTATAAACTTCTATTTTTACGCACTTAATTTATTTACAAATTTTGATTTCCTTTTTTGGTTTATGTTACCCGCGCAAATAAGTAAATCGGTCTTTCAGGTGCCTGTTTTTATAAGATTAGATAAAAATTTCTGATTTCCTGACGGTTGTAATCAGTGTTGTCACTGGAAAACCACTGGAAGGCCACTGGGAATTAAGTAAATAGTGCCACTGGAACTTTAAGTTCCAATGACACTGTTAATTTTCTTCCAGTGGTTTTCCAGTGACAACACTGGTTGTAATGATGCTCAATTGCTTCGATTAAAGTTGGTTTTTGGACGTCCTAAAAATTTTGAGCTTACTTTAGAATGCCCTATATTTCTAAAATATATTCTAAGTTTCAAAAATAAATACAGCATTAACTAAAATTCAATTTTTCGATTTTCGGATATAAAGCAACAATTTTTGGAGCAGTTGTCTGAAAAATCCTAAAGTCCTAAAATGCCCTTTTTGCCAACCTTAGCTTCGATAGATCAAGATAAAGACCTCAGTCGGTGCTTGAGTGGCTTTTAAATAGTTTATTAAATAGTATCGAAAATTTTGCAAATACATAAAAAAAAACATAATAGCAAAACGTTAGTATACCAATGATAAAAAGACTTTAATACTGTAATGGTTATAAAGTTTTGATAAGTCAGTGTAAAAAAAAGATGTTCAGAGCAAAAGCTTGTTAACCGGAATGAACTTTCTTTACTATTTAAATTTTTTCATATATAATATTTAAGTGTTCCGTGACTTATTTATACAGATCGGTTAAAAATACTTCCGCTAACTAAAATTTAACTTCTAACACAAGTCCGCTATATTTTAACCCATTGGATGCTTGAGAACGATCTGCATTTATTGCTTAGAATAAAAATTCAATTGTAAAAATAATTTCTACAAATAGGGTGTTTCAAAATTAGCACTAAATATTTTTAGAATTTATAGCATATATTCTTTCAACGATAAAAACCATATACTGTAATTATCTATTTAAGAATAAATTATATTCATATCTTACCCCACGATAAAAGTTTGTGAGCTCAGGTGGAAAACCGCATATTTGGATGATGGTGAAGATATTTTGGGTTGAAGGATGAGAATAAAAACGATATTAATTATCTGTAAAAAACTTTGCTTCATCAAGTCGATCAAAATTAGGAGGTCAATAGAAAATAGGCAAATTGTTTTTAGTAAATTTTATTTAAACTTTAAATTAAAATATTTCAACAATTATTAAAACAAATCCAATACTTTTTTTTATTTTGATCTATAACTATGTAGAATCAGTATAAAAAATTTTATTAAAGAGATATTTCCATTTAAAGTTTTAAAAAATTTTACTTAGAAAAAATTTGCCTGTTTTCTATTGACCTCACCCCATCATACAAAATATCATAATAAGAAATTTTTTTGGAATTTAACGAGATTAATAGGTGGTGAAATTTGAACAGAATTCTATACAGCTTTAAAGATACAAATATTTTAATTTAGAGAATGAACAAGTTCACTTAATATTTTTGTTAGCTTTAATAAATATTTTTGTAAAAATTAGCACTGAAATTAGTATTGGCAAAAAAAATTATCGTTATGCCTAACTCCTGAATGTTTATTGATAATTATTAGTTGGTATGCTAATAGAGCTGTTTGTGATTGCATATTAAATTTGACATTAGATTTGATAACGTATTCAGCATCATAGCATTAGCATAGTATCTTGGGTAGCTTGTGTAATGATCTTTGTTAGGACAGCGATGATGTTGCAATATTGTATAATATTTTAGTATGTATGAAAAATACCTTTCATGTAATATCAATCAACTGTATAAGATTGACCAAGAAAGTACTGATATTTATTTAGTTATTACACTTAATAATCTGATATAAAAATTGTTTATTAAGTAAATCAATCTTTGACAGTAAGTAAAGTTGGTAAAGTTGTTCATATGAATGAAGTTATATAACTAACATTCTGAAATTATATACACACACACAAAAAAATAACAATTTTTCGCCTAAACTCAAAAGCAGAATATAAATTCCATTTATTTGGCATTAGCATCACTAAAAAAAATTCTTATTTGACTAATAAGTACGTATAATAGAGGGTTTCAGAATTAATTTTTTTTCAAAATAAGTGAGAGTTTAAAAGGTCCTATTTTCTTTTTTAGAATTCCGATTCAGAAAATTAAATAGGCATAGCCGGTGATAAATTTTCGCTTTTTTTTGATAAACATTCGTTGGTAAACGATTATATAAATAAGTACATACTTTAAAAAAAATAGAATTTGTAAGTTGTTTATTTTGAAATAAATACGGCACCTATTTTATATGAAATCGGACGCCGAATCATTAATTCTGAAACCCCCTAATTAAATAAACGCTCAATTCTTAATTCTTTTGTTATTTTTCAAAACTTTAATCTCTGAATTTTATATATAATAGATATTCTAAAAGGTTGTCCAACTTCAAGGATCTCGAAAATATTGTATACACATATTTGTGTAAATCCTGTCGTGTATCAATCATAGTATCATAAATCCTTTTAGTCACTGAATCAAATAATTGCCTAAGTAATAAGCGGATATCATCAGTTTAATTCGATTCCTTAATCTCTTGGCCTTTAGAAAACTATCTCATACATTCTTGATTTTGAATAAATAGAATCTAGGTGGTGCATTAACACTTAAAGGCGTGTCCTGAAATAATTCGTTCAAGATTATACTAACATTATCCACCTTAAATCCTTTTAATAAAATATGGTTATTATTGGTAAAGATAGAAGTTCTAAATGTTAAACAAAACAATAATAAACAAAGTATAAAAGCGAATGAACAAAAATTTCCAGATAAATACATTAATTCCAAAATAAAAATAAGCTTAATATTAGTTCTTAAACCATGACTCTTTACAATGCTAAAAATCAGAGAAGAATTTCATAATTGGAATAGTGGAATGATGATATTGATATATTTATTCAACAAACGCCACTTAATGCAAGAAATTTAGTGATATAATTGAATAGATTTCTTTTGCTAAAGGAGGCTTTTTAAAGCAATATGACTGACAGATATATTTGCAGATTTGATGATTAAGAGAATAAAACCTAATAATTCTAAAGATAGTATTAACAAGATTTTTAGAAGAGGTAGGAATTGTATTTATTAAATTATATAATTAATGTACTAATTTGATTTATCCTATTTAATATTTTAAGTTAAAAGTCAACACAAACATGAGCGCAGTTCAGCAAGATGATATGCAAACAAGACAAAGAAATCTTCGAAATTATTAGATAGCAAATATTATAGTTTCTATAATATATAACTTATATAGCTCAAGTGCATTATGCAATTAATAAGTCTTATTAATGTAATTCCGGAAACATTGTTAATGAAATTTTTTATTATCCTTATATAATTGATTTTGGTTTATGCAAACCAATGTCACAAGACTCAAATTCTAATAAGCTTTTTGGTATGCTTCCTTATGTTACTCCGGAATTGTTAAGTGCGTCAGGCAATGATGATAGTATGGTATATACTCAAGTATCAGATATTTATTCTTTCGAAAAATTATGACCGAAATTTTTAATGGATTCCCACCATATTATGATGTTTTGCATGATCTTAGTCTAATATTAGAAATCTGTAAAAGTCGGAGACCTGAAATCAAATGTAAACTTTCAATTACTTTTAGATTTAATGAATAGGTGTTTAGATAATACACACGAAACCGGCCATCTGCTAAAGAATTGAAGATTTAACTGACGAAAAAACTGAATTTTCAAAGTTAAGGTAATTAAAAATTCAACCCAATAATTCTTCACGATTTATTTATAATACATGGAAAGCTAGTTACAAAAGCAAATATTTAAGCAAGTCTTCAAATCTTCATAAATTAACTGGTATAGAAAGCCAGAAACAAGATAAATATTATTATTGATCAATTGATTATAGAGTGATCATCTGCAAGTGATCTATTATTTCTGTATCTAAGCTTATCGTTATGTATATTCATTTTTTAGCAATTACTTTATATACTGTATATATATATATATATATATGTTGTATATCTATCAAAATCTTTTATAACTTAAAACTTTGTTTAATATTTATATTTGTATAATTATTGCATATTTATATATATTTCAAATAAATATATCATGCAAATATAAAAAATGCCATCTTTCTACTTTACAATTTGTTTATAGTATCAATAATATAAATATAATTATCATTTAAAAATATGTCTATTATTTCCTAATTTACAAATTATTAATATTGTTAAATTTAAGTTCATAAAAACATAGATACAATTAATCAATACTTACGCACTAAAAATTTAATTTATAATCAATTTATTATAAAAATATACCCTTTATGAAGCTTATTACTAATATGTACTCATACTTACTTTCTGGAAGTAATACAATAAATTTATAAATAATTTATGAGGATGCCAAAAAAAAAAAGTAGCAGATATTTACTATTTGTTAGCCTTAACTCATATGACAACAAATTCAACTATTATCCAGTTTTCCTCCTCTACAATCACCAGTAAAAATTATTTAGCAGTAATTCCAATAGATTTTACAAAAATAAAAAATATATTTTCAGCTTCATACTCACAATCTGATAATTTATAGAAATTATATATTATTATATATTATTCTCTTTTAAGATCCAATTTAGTAACCTATAAAAATTTTATACTCACTCGCTATTATAATTATTTAAAAAATATAGTATTATTAAACAGCATTTAATTAATAAATAATAATATGTGTGATTTTTATACTCACATTCTGGTTTAATTGTTTAAATAATTATTAAATTATAATTTAGCGTAAAATAAGTGCAACATATAGACAGTACTTACACGCTAGTAGGTAATTATTAGTTAAAAATTTCTAATTAAGAAATTCTGATTTCACAAATAAATACTTATAATGTAATATATATATACTTACACACTAGAAATTGATATAATTAAAAAAAAAAATAAATCTGGATTTTTAACCTAAAATAAATATACTTTAATTTGATATAAATTAAAAATTTTCAACTATAAGTGTTAACTTATTACAAAACATATCTAATAGATATAAATAAAATATACTAACTGCCTAATAGTTGAAACATTATTAAGCAATAATTATAAAATCATCATAATAATCATCATAATCAATTTATCAATAATAATTCAACTTTACTCACGCGCTTAGATTTAAAAATATTATTATTTATCATTAAATTTTAACAAATAAATCTAAACCATTAAATTTTGTACTTACATTCTAATAATAATAAATATTTGAAATTATTAATATATTATTAACAATTAACAAGTTAAAAATAATTCTAAAAATTAACTTACTTTCTAATTGTTATTATAATTGATATAATTGTTAAAATATTTTATAATAAACTTTATACTTACTTCCTAGTATAATTTATTATAAATCTAACCTAAATATTACTAAACCTTATACTTACATGCTAATGGTTTAATATAATTCATTTGATAATTTAAAGTAATATTTTATTTAACAAAAAATTATCTATTATTGAACTTACGTTCTAAAAATAAACATAATTATTAAAGTATTATTAAATTACTAAAAATTGCTAATTAAGCAAATAAACGAAAGTAGCAAAACTTACACGCTAGTATATAAATCATTTGAAGTTTTGCGTTTATAAACTTATGTAATGGCCTATTAAACTAACGACTTTATATAATCTACAAGTTTAAAAATCATATGCAATGTATATTATGGGGTAGTGAACTTCAGATATATGGTTTAACTTATAACTCAAAAATTGATGAATACTTCATGGTATTTCAGTATGCTGATGGTGGAAATATTCATAAGTTCCTACGATCAAATTTTAATCAACTTGCATGGGAATTTAAATTAAACCAACTTAAAAATATATCAGAAGATTTACGCTGAATTCATGATACAGGATATATTTATGCCGACTTTCATAGTGGCAACATACTTTACAATAAAGGTAAATCTTATGTTTCGAATCTGGGATTATCTAAAAAGAAAAACAAAAATAATACAGAAGGAAATATTTATGGAGTCATGCCTTATGTCGCATCAGAAGTTTTATCAGGCAATCAACAGTTTA